ATTCTCATCATCCCTCATCATCCATCTTCATCGCTTTTTTTTTAATTAATCGACAACAGTTACAGATAGATATATATAAATATATATATATATATATATATATATATATATATATATATATATATATATATATATATATATATATATATATATATATTTTACTATCAAAAAAAAACCTTGAAAGGCCCCAGGAAAATTGGGCAGATTAACTTCGAAGTCATTGAATTATGGCTTCTGCCCTACCAAAAAATTCTTTTGCCCTACCTTAAATATGGGCCTAGCTACGGCCCTGTTATTAAGTAAATATAGTTCAATATATACAAAGAATCAATGGATGCACATGATTCGGGATCTATGTTTAGCAGTGGACAGTTAACGGCTGGTATGATATGATAATATTCAAAGAATAATTATAATATTTGCCAGACCTTATACGTAATCCAACACGACATACGGTCCGACATCACCATTAGATATAATTTATCTATCTTGTACTTTAAAAATGTGACATAAACTAAAAAAGGTCGCAATCTAGATAGCCACTCAAATTTCAAATCGCTACCTGCGCCATGTATAAACATCAAAGGCAGAGTAATTACATTACAAACTGCATTCCCTATGCCAGACCAAGCTTTTAGCGTTTTAGCCGTCTAATTGGTGTTAGATTCACTATTTATCGCTTTAATAAACCTGGAAAATTGACTACTCCATTAAAACTGCATAACACTTTTTTGCTACAGAGATAAATACCTCTTTCAGGTAACCATTGAGTGTAGAGTATCTTAGATATAATATTTCAGTAGTTGTGTTTTTTTAATGTTTAAATAAAAAACAATTATTGTTGTTGTGAATAACGTTAATATATCTAATAGCATTAGTTCCACAAACATTATGCAACCACAGAATTTATCAGAAAAATTACCATACAAAATGTTTGTAGAAAACTCATGGCAACTTGGTAAAGTTTTCAAGTCGTTATGGCTTGTGTTATTACCATAATTTTGTGTTTCAAAATCCTGATGCTCTTACTATATTTAATTAAATACTAACGATGGCTTTAATTTTTTTGATAAAACAAAGCTGTAGGTAAACATTACTACAAGGTACATGAAATATTTTGCTGTAGAGATAAATCTGTCTAGGGTAGACCGAAATGGATCAGATCAATTTTTGTTTGTGTATGGTGTCGTAAATTTTTTCCATCGCGCGCCGATTTTATTGTAATACAGATTGAATCCACAATCAGCAAACACATCGCGCGCATTCGTACATGCATACATACATTTCTGTCACACCATCATATTTTAGTTTTTAACCTTGCACATAACGACGAACGACGAAAGATTAATATTACACATAACGATCTAAAGTTTCTTATCATTTCTAACGACGCAGCAATAGTTGTTGGAGTGGTACTCGAAGTGCCTACTTTATGGCCGCATAGGTTTGAAAGCGAAGTCAAAGAGTTCTTCTAGCATCTCATCATCGACCTTTGCCGATATTCTATGGAACACTTACAATAGGATGGCTATATTTCAATAAATTTCGAATGGGAAATGTATTATTCTAGAGGTTTGAAGTAAATTTTTTGTGTGTTACTAGATGTCTTCTAATTATGAAAAGTTTTTTTTTTCTTTTGTTACTTTGTTTATATCTCATAACTAAATCTTGTCATGATTATGGTTATGATTGAACTATTTTTAATTCCCAACACAAAAAGTGGGGTGTTATAACTTTGATGTGGGTGTATACCTGTCTATGGCATCGAAGTTTCCAAACGGACGCACCCATTATGATGCGGTTTTTTTTTTGTTTGAAAGCTGACATGATCAAGATGGTTCTTAGCTACAATTTGTATAGATCTGTTCAGGTGTTACTTAAAAATTTTAATTTTATTTATTCATCATATCAGCCTTTAACTGTCCACGGCTGAAAATAACTTGGGAGTTTTACTAGCAGTAATTGCCACGCTTGGCAGGTAGGTTAACAATCGGAGTTAGGCTTTAGAGATGTTTTAAGAAGGACGCTGCTGCCCATCCCTCGCCCTCTCTTAGTCGCCTCTTACGACACCCACGGGAAAGTAAGGGCTGGCTTATTCTATGCCGGGACCTACACAGCAATTTTATTTATTATTGAAGTATAATTATTAATCGTAATACCCAGATTGTTACATCCTCTAACGGATCATCAAAGCGAAACACAAACAACATGCGAGCAAGCTGCTTGTATTAGGTGACACAAAGGACCCACGCGGAGAACTTTGTAACCGACATAATACAAATTAAACAAGTCTACTAACTTGAGATTTTGTAAATCCAAGGCAGAGATAAATGCGCGTCATAATAATCCAAGAGATTACACAGAATGTAAAACTTTTTTCTACATATAATCGGTTATATGCCACATAAATTATCTTCTCTCTCGAAACCGGATAAAGTGAAACTCCGCAAATTAAACTTTCTGCGGCTTATACTGATTCAAATTTTAAAATTTATTAAAAGTTTTCCCCACCTGCCAATGTACAAATAAATCAACTTTGTTTTGTCATGTAGCGGAGAGTGGGCTAACTTGGTTATTTTTTTTATTTATTTAACACTTTATTGCACCAACATAACATGATTTGTTAAAACAATTTTCAATACGTATAGTGTAGTACAAAAGGCGGTCTTATTGCTAAGCAATCTCTTCCAGACAACCTTTGGGTAGAAAGGATTAAAGCATAAGTAGGTAGGTGGCGTGTTAAAAAAGATAGATTTGTAAAAAATAATATTTGTGACAGCATAGTCATATACATATACATACATAAATAAACACATACAACCAAACATATACATATATATACATACACATACACATATAAATATATATACATACATATACATATATACTCATAAATACATACAAATATACCATATTAATACACATATATATAACACACATAAAACTGGAAATACGTAGGACTAAGTGATTATAAGGATAGGTAGTGGGCTTTAACTAAGTTTTTAAAAATGGGCAACGATTGAGCCCCATTAGGTGAGTTCCTATTAACTGTACGGAAAAGGATTTGGAGTAGAAAGATTAAGAATGGGTAGGAATTATAATTATGAGCACATTGCAACGTAAAACGTTGTGACCCATTTATTTTTAATTTAAAACAATGGAACGGTAATCCCGCTTGCGCTAACGGTATACGCTGGCGGGGCACAAGTAAGGGATGATAGATGAGATGAAAAGGCAGGTCAGTTAGCCAATCGTAAAGAATACGCCAGGAATTCAGCACGATGGTTTCCAAGGAGAACCACGTAAAGATCGACCTGACTGGGTATATTGCTAACAATGGGACTGGTGGTCCGCATTACTAACAAACCCTTGCCCCATTAGATGTACATATTCTAGCAATATTATGTACAAATTCTATCAGGTCGACCTCTACGCGGTCCCGTTAATTCCTGATGAAATCGTCACGATGGCCACTCGTCACTGATGCCCCGTTAACATATACCGTTAGCGCAGGCGGGGAAACCATTTCATTATCATCCATCAGATAACAACATATCGTCATAGTCGTAGAATACTGACGGATCTTTATATGTAATATTTGTCAGATATATATTATATCCAAGTAACAGTGTATATACCCAAGTAAAAGAATCATAATAACTTAATTTAATAAATACATTTTTTATAATGATTTTAATAAAAATATTTATCATTTTACGTAAATATTATATTATGCATTAGCATGCATAGTAAAGATAGGTCTAATAGCTAAAAATATATCTAAATAAAACATTTATAATGTGCACCTTAAAAAATTTTCATCATTAGTGTGACAAAGCATGTAAAACAATACCTGAAGGGACTTAACCGTTCGGGGCTAACGTACAGGGGGTTGATTCACGCTCTATCGATTTTATACCATACCTACATTACCTACACAATATTTATTTATAACCATAAGCAATCCCTCTTTAATATTTGTAGTGGCTTCAATCTTCTAATGAATTACATAATTATATAATATGATATGTACAGAGGGACCATTCATCTATATATATCAGACTTAATTCTTTTAAGGTTTTTCCTAAAGTCTACAATATTGTTCAAAAGGGGTATATTAAGATTTCTTCAGGGTCGATAACGCACACGTAACACCCCTAGTGTTGCAGGCGTCCATAGACTACAGTGGTCGTTTACCATCAGACGAGCTCTATGCTTGTTTAGTTTGTTAAATCACTGAAAGAATACAATTTAAATATGTTCTTCATGCTCCGTATAATAAGTAGTAGACGGAGACTGTACATGTCTGCATGGGTATCGCTGTCCCAGTCGTGATTCTGAAAAGAAACAGTTGTACTTACATGGCCACGTTTCAGTCTGAAAATTAAGGCATGGCATGAGAATGTATACTCTGATGTGCCTGATGCTATTCATGTTTATAGACAAGGGTTACCATTCCCACCAGGTAGACCGTCAGCTAATTTACTATTCCCAGGTCCATAAAAAGTAAATAAAGCGATACTATTAATACGATAGTATTTTAATAATGCAGCTAAAGAGTTTAGAGTTAAGCTTAACTTTATACATTTAATTACCTCTGTCATATTATTATAATAAATAAATCAAATTTAAATTGCTTTAAAACTGACACTGTTTCCAACTGCCATTTCAGTGGGGGGAAAGGGATTGTTAGTAATGGAGACTGAGAATCCCATTGCTAGAATATGCCCAACCAGGTCGTCCTCCTCGCGGTTCTCCCTGGAAACTATCATGGTTAATTCCTGATGGATTCATCATGATGGGCTAACTGGCCTGTTTTCATTCTTATCTATCACCCTTCACTGGTTCTCCGCCAGAGTATCCCGTTAGCGCAGGTGGAGTTACCATACCATTTTCACCCATCAAAAAAAACTGCCACATCAGTGTGTTCTGAGCCTATCTATAGAACTTACACTCAAATCGGCTTATTTAGGCCATAATAGGAAATAAAACCACAATACTGCAATTATTTCTGTGTATTTATCCGAAAACGTTGACATAAACAAGTTAATCCAATTATTAGATACAATATTATGTTGAAACTTCAAAATGTCAGAATATAATTATATAAATATAAAAGCACTTACCGTACAATATTTATTACAGAAAAATGTTAATAGTCAGTAAGTAAAACATGATTGATCCTAAACTGAAAATTTGTACAAATTTCATTCCAATACCTACACATTCATTTATTAATTTGGGTTATATTTTCTAATTACTTAAACAAAATTAAAACCCGAATATACAAAGAAAACTTTTATTTAAACTAAATTAATTGTGATTTTATTTGTTAAATTTATCAAACATGAGTAAAAATTCAAATATAAATATTTCAAATGTTATACAAATTGCATAGCTTTACCTACAATATTTCATTAAATTTGTGACCTATGTAACAATAATGTATGTCTTCTTTCATAATGCTCGAATGTCCTTTTTATCTTTTTTAAAAACAACCTTAACATGTCTAATTTCTAAAATATTGATTAATAAATAATACAATTGTTAGGTTTCTGTATTAAATAATTATTTTATAATAATTTTAAACTACCAATTTCGTTAGACATCTACCAAATACTTTCAATTATAAACAGATTTCACTTTGCATCGAATCCTGGCTGTTTATTATCAATTTACAGGTTCTACAGTAACAATATAAGATACCGATTCAAAAATGGCGCTATTATATAATTTACAGCACCAATTTTTATATTTTACTAGTCGTGAACAAAAATTCATTTTAAAATAGTTGTATCATTTAAAACAACTATCACCCAAGTTCTAATAACAAATTCATATTAAATATACCCATCGGCAGGTTCGAAATCACACTCATGGCATTATCAGAAGACAATCAAATATTTAAAATTCTTTTTTTATCGAGTAAACGAAAGTCAATCGTCGACGTACTTTTAGTGCGTCAATTACTTACAATACCTTGTCCTCCGGGGACAAAATGTCTCGAGTCTGCATAGATTTTTAACGTAATACGAAAATTTTGCAATTAACTACAAAAGCTTAATACTTATATAAAATATATACATGGTAATTATACAACAAATGGTATTTGGCTTTTATATAGATTTGTATAGATGAATGATAAAAATATTTTTTTCTAAGGGTGAAGTTTAAATAAATAAAAATTATGGAGGGTAGGAGTAAAGAGAATCTTATGTACGAAAACGTATCCATCAAAAGGTGTTAAATTAGAGTACCGCTACAGTAGCAAGTAATTTTCACTTTTCAAAAGCGCACTTTTCAAACAAAATAATATTATTGATTATTATAAAAAAAAAATTAATTAATGTCATGATAAATATCATTTTAAACTGTTAAACTTTATATATATATAAGATATAAATTTTCAACTCAGCGCATTTCAGTCTATCAACAACTGCTAAATTAATTTTATACTCTCTTGATACGAGGGGCGGCTCATTAGTTCGCGACCTATGGTACTTAGTGATGACCCATCGTCTTACTACTGATAATACGCATGACTCCATGTAAGTAAATAAAGTATAAATAATGGGTCACGCACGGGAGGTAGTTGTACAGAAGAGACGTGGCAAATTAGCGCGCGGAGTACTGTTCACACCGCTCGGGTTGCAAGAGATGCCTTAAAAGTTACGGGATTCATAGAAATTAAACACCAAACCAGTCCAGACTTGGCTCCCAGTGACTTTTTTCTTTTAAAATTTATAAAAGGAGGTTACGAGGACGAAGATTTTCGGACGACAGTGAGATGAAGGCGGCTGTAGAAAACCATTTCGAGAAGAAAGACAAAGAATATTTTTTTAAAAGGCATAAAAGCTTTGTATTGACGATGTGGAAAGTGTATTTCTCTTGACAGAAATTATACAGGTATACCAAAGGGAGACTTTGTACAAAAGTCGTTTGCTTGGGTACCTCTGTCCCACTCGTGTTTCAACCGTAAAGCAGTTGTTTGCATGGCTGTGTTTCGGTTTGAAGGGTGGGATATGACGTGAATTTACAGGGTACAGAGGAATAACACCTGAGTCCTCAGGAATGGCAACGCATGGGTGGTACCATGGGCAAAACAGTATACTCTGTTATGTCCAAGGAACTGCTCATGTCTATAGGCGACGGTTACCACTTTCCATCAGGTGCGCCGTCAGCTTGTTTGCCATTCTAAGTTGTGTAAAAAAAATATTGAAAAATAAAAAAATCGGAAACTATACTTTTCATTCGTTAAGACCGCGAATTTATCGGCCTCCCCTCGTACTTTAACGCCTTCTGCGGGAATTTGGAACAGTTATTTACAGCTAACAGCTGGACATTTTTGCTACTGTTCCCCTACACGAGACAGTATCCATTACCTCTACCTTCCACAATAAAAACGATTGCTCTTTGATTATAAGGCAGCTACGACAGACACATACATATGCTCAGAACGTAAACTCTCAAATTTATATTCTTTATTTATTCATTTTATGGAAGGAAGAACTTAAACATTTTTTTATTAATTTTTCATTGGCCTTATTCAGAAATAATTTGTCAGTTTATTTCCCTTACACATACAGAGTATTCTAAGTATAAAATTCCCGCTTTTTCCAAATACTGAATCTTTCCTTCCACCTCATTCCAATTATATAAAACATTTGCATTATACATTAACCAACAACTACGTAATAAATTATGCTAGTGAAGTTACACTACATTTTTCTAGAATGAAAAAATATCATTTTGCGAGGACTCTAGCACCCCTGTCGATGGAAATATGCTAAACCCCTGGATCGACTACATTCACAATGAGAATCGTATGATCAGATCGTTAATTTATTTAAGGCAAAATGTAACGTGAGCACGTCGCCGCAATACGATGTTATATATGTATGGTGACCATTTATGGATAATATATAAATTTTGCACAATGACTCTTCGAACCGGATATTGATGAAGTCTAATTGTGGCCACATACTACTGAAATTTTAATATATAAAAATTTCCGCATCACGATATTTATTCATGTTAATCTCTAAAATCGCTCAACCATTTTTTGCTATTTTTTTTTAATGGTAGGTGGCGGTAGGAAGCAAAACAATTTTTGCCGAGTTAATTGGTAATTTTCTAAAAGAAGTACTTTTTATTGAGTGTTAGATAAGACATTCTGCAAAATTTGGTATGAGTATATACTATATATAGTTTAATATCTACTGTGAGATCGGAGCCACGTTTAAATTATTATATTTACATGATTAAAAATATATTCCCAACGAATTGCCAGTGGGCGTTGGAGCCTTCCTTAAGAGCGGTAGCTACAAACCATATGCAATATTTTTATATCATAATAATTATTATGACCATTGAGCTTTACACATTTTATGAACAATATTATTTACGGTGCGTAAATATGTATTTATGATCTCCCGATATAAAAACAAAGAATGTGTAAATTTGTAAACAATCATTATATACAAAGCATAATCTTTTCTATAAAAAAATAGAGTGGTGGGCCAGAAAAGGTCAGGAACCACTGTTCTATTATAATTTTACGAACATACAACAAATATCCGAATCGATGTGCCATGTAGTTCGGTGCAAGCGTCAGCAATATGAATGAATATTCACGAGCTACGAAATATTGACATGAACACATAAATTAAAATAAATATTAACTTTCCTAAGCTGAGATAACAATAGATTGCGAACTTAGCTATATATACAACACTTACGTCTAGACATAGAATTGTTAAATTAATAACCGTTACGACGAATGTTCCTTAATGACTTGACAACTCACTATTTGTAAATCACAAGTGAAACCTCTAAAGAGTCACGTTTTCTTCATGCGTTTGCGGCGGTAACCCTTGTGATATTATGTCAATCCGTTGAATTGGGCCAGGGCAGTCTTCACTCTGAAAAAAAATCACTATATAAGGGTATGATTAGAATAAGTACAATATACACTTAGATTATATAGACAGAGCACAGAGTCTCAAAAACGGGTCAACGTTTTGTCAGCTAATTGTCGAATTAGCTGACTCGTTTTTTTATCAGTGTTCTATATACTTACACAAATAATATATCTTGACGCATCTATATTTAAATATTTACTAAATAAAATGAATTTTTATGCAATAAATAAAAGATGCAAAAATTATAAAATAAAATTAATATAAAAGTTATAAAGGAAACACTCATAACTATTTATCACGCAATATTGTATGAAAAAATTGACCCGCTTTTCTCAAAGCATTTGTAAGAAGACACGTTACCTACACAATCTAAGTTTCAGACTTTTATAATTTATACTCTTTTGTGTTTTATCTATTGAATTATTAGTATTAATGCAATCAAATTTTAAAAAATAAACCCGACGTATTTTTTTTTTTAATATTTTTAACGATATTGTCGTACATACGTCGTTTGCAAAAATGATTATGCAGGAAGCGTAACTTATGCAAATGTTGTGGTATGCTACAGTTGAACACGGGCGATACGTGACGGCGCACAACGTGATGCTTTGTGGGTTTACTTGCATCCCTGAGCCAGCATTCTAGGCACAGGCGACTATTTAAGACGCTGCGTGAATTTTAGCTGTTTGAAGTTACCAGTTATTCTATAACAAATAGGGCTATTATTTTTAACAAACTTCCAAAAATAGTTTTTTTTTTTTTACAACATAGAATAGCAAACAAACTGACGGCCCATCTGATGGAAAGTGGTAACCGTCGCCTATAGAGATGAGCAGTACCATGGACATAACAAAGTATACTGTTTCGCCCATGATTCCCCCCTCCTCCTCCCCCCCATGGCGTGTATCGTGTATCGTGTATCGTGTAGCGTGTAGCGTGTAGCGTGTAGCGTGTAGCGTGTAGCGTGTAGCGTGTAGCGTGTTGCGTGTAGCGTGTAGCGTGTAGCGAATGTAGCGTGTAGCGTGTAGCGTGACGCGTGTAGCGTGTATCGTGTAGCGTGTAACGTATAGCCTGTTGCGTGTACCGTGTAGCGTGTACCGTGTAGCGTGTAGCGTGTAGCGTGTACCGTGTAGCGTTTAGCGTTTAGCGTGCAGTGTGTAGCGTGTACGTACTTGTCGTGCAGGTGCGCCGCGTCCTGGCGCGCGCCCAGCAGCTTGAGCGCTCGCAGCACGCCGAGGTCGGCCAGGCGCGCCTGCCGCGCCGCCGCGCCCGCCTCGCTGCAGCGCACCAGGTTACTCGCCACGAACAGTGCCGCCTCTTGCAGTTTGCTCTCTGGGTGTGCCTACGACATACATCATGTAATTACTAATTGTTACAAAAAGTGCATTGTTCAAGCCATTTCACATTACGAAACTGGGTTCAAGAGTGACAGCGATTTCGATCACGGCGACCGCTTCCTCTTTAGTATTAGTCTCTTTTGATAATGCAAAATATGTCCAGAGTCGTGTTAATTATTTGAACACAACATCTACATCATGACATAGGTAATTTAACAACTTAAAGTTTCACATGTCATTACAGTTTTACATTTACATAATAAAATACGTTATACGACAATAAAATATTACATTATTATTTATTCTATTTTATATTTAATTGATATGCCATTTGGTAATTTTAGTATATTTTATCGAATTTAACTATTTCAAAATAAAAGTCACAAAGGCAAGAAATAGAGATAAACTCTAAATATTAAAAATGTTTTCGCAGTATTAGAAATTTTAGTTTTAGAAATAGACAATGGCGAATGATCGAGAATCTCATTGTTGACACAAAGTAATCACCAAAGTATTTACCAAATAATCAACAAGCTTCCTGAGCACGTCCTCATTTGCCATAATAAAATCCCGTGCTCTCTCACCATCGCCGATGTTACCGAGGATGCACAGTGCTTGCTCTTTAACTTCAGCAGGGTATGACCCTTCTAACACTACTATCACTGCCTGAAAACAATACACTTGACTTAATTTGTAGCATCTTGTAGCGTCTGCACATTGTTAAATATTTTACATGATCTTTCTTTAAACTGTTTGTTCCTTTTAAGTATGATAAAAATACTACATATTTTTCATATCTGTGGAGTTTGTTTCCTGACTGAGGCATTAGTTCACTATCAAAGCCCTTTTCAAACAAATCATTCATAAATATTTACATCTATTTGTTTAAAAAAAATAACTATTCATATAACATAAGATTTAAACAGCCCAAATGAGAATCTAAGCGCGGAAAATAGAATCTTTTTTCACACATTCACAACATAAGATTTACATATAAATCCTTGCCATTACACTGACAGATACAATGACAAACCATTGACAACTATTCAAAATATTATATTAATGTTCACGCCCGGTCCCGACATCTTACGGATTGTTTTAATACTACTAACTACTAATAAATTATGAACACCAATTCCAGAGACTAATGGGGGACACATGCACAAAAAATAATTGATTGATTAAAAAAATTGGAGAATGGAAATTTTTGAACTTACTATATGTGTTTATTTATGTTTATATAGGATGAAGCAGAAATAATTGTCGAAAAAGACTAACATAATTCATTAAAATACCAGCTAGTCCAGTTTATTGCACTCCACTAACCTGCATAACTTGCGAGGAGTATTCACTCATGATGGCGTCGATGTGTTGCCTAGTAGACAGCAAGTTGCGCAACAAACCAAGTGTCTTCATGATGACGCGCGTGTCGCTGTCGCCGAGCAGCCGAAACATTTGCTCCGTGCCCAGGCAACATAGTATTCGCTGTTTCACTTTCTGTTCCGCCTGGCAAATATTATATATTATTTTATATTTAAATATTTAGCAATTTGATTGATTGACATTAATTATTTAAGTTTTATAGAAATGTTATTAAAATATGAAAGTCATTAAATATTTCTATATATATAGCACTATTGAAAAAAAATCGAAATTATAAAAAGAAGATTTAAAAATTAACCGCTTCAAAATTTATTCATTTACATAATTATTTTTTAATTATGATTTTAATATTTTTATATAATACATATAATAAAAAGAGATAGAACAATAAGGTAATTAAAAGACTAATCTTCTTATTCATAAAAACATCAAACCTTTTATAAATCTTTTTTAGTTTCATCTCCTTTTTTTGAGCTAAATTATCAATTTGAAAGAAAGTAACAAAACAGTGTAATAGTTAAAAAAAGGTTTGTAAAAGGTTTTAGCTTTTATGAATAAGAGGCCTATTATTAATATAAATAAAAAAAAAAACTTTCCAATAAGTACAATATCGAAACTTACTTGGAAAGCCATGTTCATAAGAGCCCATATACCATTCAGTCTCAAGGCCGCTTCTGGCCGTTTTGTTAAATTACATAACATTTCCACAGCACCTATAATTAAAAAAAAAATGTGATAATATAATAAAATCTGATGTTTTATTAATTATTTGTAATCTGTCTTATGGCAAATTAAATGACTGATATAATTATTTTAAACAAACTTTTTCATTTCAAAAATATTGTTAATTTTCTTGCAAAACTTGCATTCAAAATATATTATTAGGTTATTTATTTACTTATTTTACATTAACGTAAATAGCGAATATTATTTTAATTTTAAAAACCATGCATTTTAAAGATACAATCATATGCAAATAGTTAATGCTTGCCTTTTAACTTGGGGTATATTACTCTCCTAAAAGAACACAAAATAAACTTGATATTACCAAACCTTGATCTAACATTGGTTCCTTGGCTGGAGAGAACTCAAGTAACAAATTGCACAGCGTGGAGGAGCCCACTGTAAGTAGTTCTGTTCCAGGTGAATCGTTTAACAACTGCATCAATGGTTTCCATACGGCGTGATCCTAGAAAATAATATAAAATATAATACTTTTGCTTTAATTTGCAGAACTAATCGTGATATCCCCATCAGCTAACACCTGTGCTAGGGGAGGGGGAGAAAGATTGTTAATAATAGGGGTGTTAATCCCCATTGGTAGTAATATATCCTATCAAGTCGACCTCCACGCGGTTCCCCTAGAAATCATCATGATTATTTATTGTCAAATTCGCAGCGATATGGCCTATCGCTGACCTTTCATCCACACCTATCCCTCACTGATGCCCCATTAGTGTATACCGAAAGTACAGGCGGGGTTACCACTTCATAAATAAAATTTCCTAAATAAATAAATTACCATTCACTAAAAAAAATCGTGATATCCCAGCAGTTATTACTGAATTATGTTTTTTTATGATATGAAAATTGAACGAGAGACCCCGTTTGCGCTATCAGCATACGAGGTTTGTCCGGAAAGTACGTATAAAAGTTTTTTAAAAATTTTATTTTACAATTATTCAGGTAAATCAATTTTATCCCCTTCAAAGTACTCCCCCTGTGACATAATGCACTTGTGCCAACGCCGTTTCCACTGTGAGAAGGCTCCTTGAAAGTCCTCTGGTTGTAGGTTTCTCAGCTGCCCCGTCGTAGCTTTTTTTATCTCATTTATGTCCCCCAAATGCCGCCCCCGAAGTACCAATTTGGTTTTTGGGAACAAGAAGAAGTCACACGGGGCCAAATCCGGCGAATAGGGGGGTGTTCGGTCACCGTAATGGAATTTTTACTCAAAAAATCAAGGACAACAAGAGAGGTGTTGGCAGGGGCATTGTCGTGGTGAAGAATCCAACGCCCCTCTCGCGCCAATTCTGGACGAACTCGTGCCACACGAGCTTTGAGGCATCTGAGCACATCGACGTAGAATTTTCCATCAACTGTCTGGCCTGGAGGGACGAATTCTTGATGCTTTCTCGGCCCTCTCTGAATCTTTTTAGCCACTTGTGGACGGTTGGTTCCTTCACAGCATCATCCCCATAAACTGTTCTGAGATCGGCAAAAATTTCACGGCCATTCTTGCCGAGTTTCGAGAGAAACTTGATTACGACGCGCTGCTCTTCAACGGAAGCGGGCTACATGCCGACGGGGTTTCGTTAAGAGGTAACTTCACAGATGGCGTGACAAGCCAGTTCGCACCGCACGGCGGTAAGACCAGAACTGAAGCATTGTTAGGGACATAAGGAAGGGGTCCTGCGCTTACCTGGCCTCCCCACTCCTCTTTCTCGCATTCCAGAACACTTTTATACGAACTTTCCGGACAGACCTCGTACACTGGCAGAGTATTAGCAAGGCAAAGTTATAGTAAATTATTTCTCAGTGTAACGACGGGGCAAGAAAACAATTATGTCATCCCTCTTTTCATCCCCATAATGTTATACTAAAAGGCGACTAAGTAAACGAAAAAGGAAAATTTTAAGTCTTAGCCAGCATTGTAACAACAGGCAGCATTGTATCCCTCTCCAGGGGAAACTAAAACTAGTACACCGCCAGCGTATACCGAGAGCACAGACAGGAATACTATCCATATAAAAATCCTCTTCTAAAAAGAATGGCGTTAACTGTATTGACTACGCACTTTTGTCACACAATCTGTTTTATATAAATATATAGAAATTGATATAAAATACACGTCAGAATTCAAATAAAAAGAAACTATAGATAAATTAAGTTTCCTAATCAATTACAATCAATCAGTTAATTAACAAAGTAATTGTACCTGAAATGTAGTCCTCAACTGTTGGACAGACCTCGACAGAGAGTGCAAACACCTAACTGCCGCTAGTCTGATCTATAAAGAAAAAATAAAATTAAAAATTTAGGATTTAACTGGATTATATCCATTTTCGTCGAGTGGTCTCGGCATAGAATAGGCCAACCATTGCTTTTCCGTGTCGTAAGAGTCGACTAAGGAAGGGCAAGGTCTAACTGCGGTTGCCAATCCGTCTGCCAAGCGCGACAACTACTGGTAAAATCATCCAAGGGAAAGGTTTATGTTCAGCAGTGATCAATTAAAGGCTGACATGATGATGATGATGATATCAATTTTATCAAACAATTCTATCTGTGCATTCTTACAAAATCATAAAAATAGTTGTTGAAAACTAACACAAACTATTCAAACAAATCTGACGTTATCACTATATTACATTTGTCTATGTTTTACGCGCATAGAGCACGGTGCATTCCTTCAACAGTTCTTGTGACTATCATTATGCAGTCATAAGAAAAGTATAGAATATTTTATTTTCCTTAAAAATATGATACAAAGTTTTTTTATAAATAAGTAAATAACTCCATATTTAATTAAGCAAATATGTTTGTGTAGATAAACTCTCATATTTGATTCCCAGTTGAATAAATTCAGTATATCAACTTTCTAAATTGACGCAGGTTTGCGTGTTCTTGATTATGGCCCTCAAACATAAATTCAATGGGCATCCTAATTGATTGGTGTGATTGTGTAACACTTCTCTATTAATTACTATATTTTTTTATACAACTTAAATACAATAATATAAAGATAGACATGATCTCTAACAAATATAAACCTACCGATGGCTCAGGATTTTTCATTTCACTGACGATATGTTTCATCAGACCATGTGTCTCGATAATCCTCTTCCTGATGTCCTCATCATTGGCACCAAGGGACGCGAAGCACTTGAACGCGCCCTGTTTCGCTGCCGCCGACGGACAGTTGACTATGTCCGCGAGTGAGCTCATCAAGTGATTGGAAATAGCCGCAAGTCTTTGAAGCGAGGTGTCCACCTGATAGCAAATGTGTTCTTTGTTTAAGTCAAATATATTGATTGCAGTAAAATACGCTACAGAGAAAGCGACAAAGATTTAACGCTTAAAACAACTTACTTCTAAGAATCAAATATATATTTTTTATTAATAATAATAAATAAATAATTATTTATTTATTTCTATACAAATGTTGGTCTAGACGACAGAATTTTTAGTAACCATTTATCATCAATCAATAAGTTAATTTAAGTCAACCTCTCAATCGACAGATCTCTCGATCAACAGTCTCCACTGGAAACTATCATGTTCAAATTCGTTTAACCATTCAACTGACAATAAGTACCAAATATAAACATCTGAATATCCAAAATGGTATACAAGTATTTACATTTTTAATATTAATATATTTTTGATTGCATTGCATAGTTGACTTGTCTTTAACAGTATAACTATCAGACAGTCTATATAATAATAATAAGAAATGTTTATAATCCATATTTCACTTTGAATAGAAATAAATATATTTAAATACTGTACCTCTGCTAAGTACGAAAGTGTTTCGGCAGCCTTTGCTCTAATTTCTTCTGGCATTTCTTTCGTACAGAGGCGCGCAAGACAAGGTAAGGCACCAAATACCACTCTAAAAAAAAATAAAAAAATAATTAATCTACATTTAACAACTAGACTCATAAATACTGCAAATATCAAAAACAGCTCTGCACAATGGCTAAAGGGTACAGTTTGCATATATTGCATTGCATTGCAATCTTTGTACTTCTATAACATGTTAAGGCATATATAGACCTTATCTTATAAGACTACATTGAAGCTATTATTGATAACTGTAATATATTTTAATTAAAATTTGTTTATACCATACTATGGGATATGTATGTTAATACAATATTACAAATAGATAATATAGAATATTATAAACCGTTGACTACCTATTGTCATCTGCTGTCAGAGCGCCAGCGCGGTGAATGAACGTGAGACATCGCGCTGCACCCAACGCCACAGGCAATGGCTTGTCGCGCGACACCAAACACATGAGAAGTTCTGGTATTGTCTTATCACCATGTCTACAATATACAAGAATAAAAAAAATAAACAGTATGACGTAGAAAGTGCGGATTTAAGTCCCGCCCGTTTCGAAAATTTTCAATCACTTAATAATTATTAAAATATGATAGATAGTAAGTATCCATGTAAAATTACAATACAAATTCATATTTCGTTTATCTATTTATTTGTACCTTATGTTATTTTTTAAAGGGTGATAATGGAATAGTAACCCAGCCGGCGCTATCGATATAGACTGGTAAAGCACCAGTGAGAGATGGGCCAACTGCCCATAGTAGCAAATGCATAAAGAATTAACCAAGATGGTTTCCAGGGAGAACCGTGTGGAGGTAGACCTGGATAGGGTACATTACTAGCAATGGGACTGTTACATCTTCATTACTAATAATTCCTTTCCCCCTACCGTATGTAGCTTATAGAACTGACGAGCATTTAAGCTGCCCGCTAACTACATCTTTTGTCAATGTATTGTGTTAGTTGAAAGAGATCTCTTTCAAAGATAAAGTAGTGATAAATATTGTAAGCAAGGGCTCACAATATTTATAACTATTTTATCTTTGTAAATTATAAATGCAGTAAAGAATATATAATAATTTTCAAATTTTAATTATATATATATATATATATATATATATATCAATTCCAAGTGTTTAATTATAAGCGTAAATGTTTAAGAAACTATATTTTCTTTTTATATGAATACATCTTAATAAATAATAATAGGTATGCTCCTAAATGTTCATATCATGGATAAGTAAAATACCATTACACATACCTAGTATTTAAAGCGACTTGCGACACATTTCCATTTTCAAAGCACATGTTGGCAAGTAATTCCAGCGCTGGCAGGGCTCGAGCGAGCGGTGGTGCGGAGTTGCGTCCGTTGGCGAGCATAGCTGCTATAGCTGCACAAGCGCCTGCTTGACAAAGCGCTTCCTGCTCCATATGACCACCACACCATACCGACAATATTCGCACCACACAACATCGGGCTGTTGCTGTACCCTCGCGTGCAATTTCTGTATTTACGACAAAATAATTATATAATTGTAAACTGTAACTTACAAATAAAGAGGAGCATTTGTTTTTTTCTTTTTTTGGTGGATGAAAATGAAATGGCCGCCTACGCTATCGGGATACACTGGCAGAGCACCAGTGAAGGGTTATTGATGAGAATGGAAACAGGCCAGTTAGCCCATTATGATGCATTAATCAGGAATTAACCATGATAGTTTCCAAGGGAAACTACGAGGAGGTCAACCAGGTTGGGTATATTACTAGCAATGGGATTTTTAGTCTCCATTACTAACAATCCCTTTCCCCCAAGGAGCATTTGTTAACCATTGCCATTGTATTAAACTTACTACCTTATCAATAATGGACATGCCCATTTATAGAAGACCTTATTTTATTAACAGTGAGTGAACCTACTGATGATTTTAATCACTTCTTTTTTATGTTTATATAACAAAGATCTAAATTAAAACAGAAGTGGAATATCTCAAATTTATTTTTTAAACAATTTCATTCTAGCTGAGGCTCACCATTAGATGATTTGATTTATTACTTTCCATTAAGAAAATGGCAACATTTCTCCCATTGACTAGGACAGTTTTCAAATGGTTCAAAAGTGAGACCATAGGTCCAATAGAAGAGCTAATATAATAAGCTTATAACATCAACCCTTTATAAAATTGTATCGGGCAAATAAATGATGACTTTTTTTTGGGTTTAGTATCAAATTTAATTCGGCAGAGATAAATTGCAATTTTTTACAATTTTTATAAATATATTAAAAATGTAATTTACAAATGCAATATATATATTGATTTGCTATGATATAAATTTAATTAATCCAGACGACTCACGTGTTAGCCTCGTCAGCAACCTCATATCCGCTGGGAGGGCTGCTATAGGTGCAGGCGGATGAAGGAAGACACTGCGTAGTGCACACAGGCCAGCCTCAACCAGTTTGGTGCCAATTGGTACTGTCCTCAGTAGTTCCACTAAAGCTGTCGCAGTCCCTTGTTCCACCAATGTCGCAACATTCTCTGGTGTGCCTTTTGCTAGTGAACCTGAATAAAAAATATTGAAATCACAAACATAACATAGATATATGCAAAAACTGATATTACACATAAATATTTTTTTCTAACTACAACAAGAAACATCTTTCATTAATTTATTGTACATTAAACTTTTTCATTGTAACTAAGTTTGTCCACTTCACAAAACATCAATTACATCAATAATTTATAATGGTTTAAATCATTATAAATATATAGACATAAATAGATGTTGTTCTAATTACTACTAACATTTTATAGTATATAGCATTATATAGCAATTAAAAATCTATAATAAATAATCAGATAACTCTTAAATTCATCACAGAGTTATGATAATATAACAATGTGCATTGATATAAATCCTATACTATCCATTATACGTTTGGTTACACATTTGTGAAATTGATTTTACCTTCCTGATATTAACAAAATGCATGTACCAAATATAATTATATAAGTAAAATCCTTACTTCCTTAATAATATTAAGTGAAAGTAACTTTAGTTGATAACCTCTTAGCACTTTAACTGCTTAATGAACCTCTATGAAGACTAATATAAATATAGGATGGCAAAGAAACATAGACTACTTTTTATCCCAATCAATTAATAAATCCCAGAAAAAAAATATGCTGTCATATAGACGAAATTACAGGTAAAAGCTAGTTAAAATATTGACTATGTCAAACATTTCTGTTCAGCATTTAACTTTTTCTATGGTTTAAATATATTTTTAAAAAAGTTCAAACTAAGAAATGTGTAAGTCATTTTTATTTTATTTTTATAGCTATATGAAAAATAAAATCTTTTGAACCTGTATGCGATAGACTTGATAGCAAACTTTGCAATTTATAATGCAAAACATGCTTTGCATGATGAATGTGATAAGCATTCATTAATGTAAAATGAATGCATTGATCACAAGTAACTGTATTGTATTTAGTTATTAGAACTAAATATACAATCACTTTTTAAAGCAAATGTCTTGATATGATGTGATAAAATATAATATTAATTAATATAACACGATATGCAATATTCTGTAACTTTTTAAGTAGCAATAGCACTTAAGGTGTTATTTAGGTGTTATTATCAGGTACATATTTTTTTTTATATTGTGAATCTATGTTATCGATTGAATAAATCCAGAAAAAAAATTGTTAGAGAGTACAAACAATACTAAAAGTAATCTTATTAAAACTCAAATGTACTTAAAACACCACTAAATTGCTTAATGTTTGGCAATCTCAGATATATGAGTATACATAAATCTACCCACAGACAATAACTAAACATTTACAATATGTATGGTATTACCTAATGAAATAAAGAAATAAAATTTAAAAAAATCAAATAGGACAAATAGAAGTAGAATTTTACCTATTGTGATAGTAGCTTCGAGCCTTATGTTGGGATCAAGGGCTTCATCTGACATCAGCTGTAGGAGTCGCGGTACTACTCCTTGCTGAATGACCGAACTCTTCTGCCGGTTACTGCCGATTACTGAATTTTTTAATGTAACTAGTGCTTCTACAACCTTTGTTGCATCTGGTGAATATAACTCGTCAATGTATGATCTTGAGCTCTCGATGTCCTATCGATAATATGTTATAGGTTAAGAGCCAGATATGATGCCACCATAAGAAAAAGGAAAATTGGATATCAAAACTACTTTAACTTACCATAAATACTGTTAATTGTTGCATTTTTGTTAAAAAGATTTACGCAGTAATATTGATAAAAATATCTCCGAAAGTATTCAGAGGCCGAATACGTTGACTACTAAATTCATCTCCTAATGTCACTGTCAAGTACAGATCCTAGAGACTGAGGTACTATAAAAGTCTATTTTTGTCTAAGAACAAGAATTACAAAATCTTTGATTTTTTTATTTACTAATGAAATGTATTATCTCATCACTATTTAGTTTACCATCTAGTCTTAGGGTCTACTGCAAGATCCCTGCCTATAGATTGAAAATAATATTTTCTAATAAACTTTTTCATTTTGTTTTTTCTAGGGAATTTTAAAATTAAAATTGGCAAAATTACTACGATGTGATAAATAAGGAAGCAATCGTGATACCTTAGATTATAGGTGATACGTATTATTATTTTTGACAAATAGTAATAGCTCATTTTATATTCACGCGGTGAGGTTATTATAAGTCTGAGGCACCACTTCTAAAATTAAAAAGAGTAAATTCGGAGGTGCTGGGTATCTTATTTTTTTAATATGACTAATCAAAATATTATCTTTTTAATCTAATTTAATAATTAAATTCAATTATCTTATGACGGTCGATAGGGAAGGCATAAGGTTCAAGAGTGGATAAATAATGTTAGTTGTTCTGTAGACCATCATAAAATGAAATTATAATAAATTTGACTAAAATCTATTAGAAAATTAGTTCATATTGGTCATTACAATCAAAGGTGGGTAATATATAGCATTATGGACCAGTATATAGATATTGTAATTACACTATCTATATTATACTGGTTCAATAACAAATATGTTAAGAGTTTGTTATCCAAAAATAAAATAAATATCTTACCGATATGGGCGAAATACGTGGTGACCTTTCAGCAATGTCCAGAAGAACCTAATATATAGATATAAAATCAGTATCCGTATTACGATACTTACTTACAATAAACTTTTCGCTATGATATCCAAATGAATTGTAGGCGTTCATAGGCTACGGTAACCGCTTACCATCAGGTGGGCCGTATGCTTGTTTGCCACCTCAGTGGTATAAAAAAAAATGAAATTTTAATTTTAAAAAGAGTTTTAAAGAAATAGCGTCTCAAACTCAACACATGTTTACTGTCATAAATCAAGGACAGTACGTTATTATAGTTTTTCGCAAAACAGTCTTTAAATATTCTTTAAGTACATATGTATTTTATTTTACTCTTTGACATGTCTCTATCTCTCTAATCTATGGAACACAATAGAAGTCTCATAGATTCATGGTCTCTAATCTGTGATTAGATGAATAAATATTATCTATCTACCTACCAACCTAATTTTTATTTATTTTATATTGTGTTTTAAATAGAAATATCAACTTGATTACTATAAAGTGTTGTTCTATAGACTACGTGAACTTTAAATTCATGACTCGGATATGTTCATATTGTTTCTAAACAAATTGTATACTGAAGTGTTTTAATAAATACAATTTCAATTATTTTATACCTAAAAGATTTACAACAAATTATGTTAATTTATCTTACAACTAAGATATTATTGCCTATCTAAAACCATGGCCGATTCAGGTGTTGATACCAGTAACGAAAGTAGTGATAACCCAGTTTTTGATCATTCTCAATGTGTCTTAGAATTCAGCCCACCAGCAATACCAATAAACCAAGCAGGTCAACCTATGCCTGTTGAATACTTTAGTGACCGACATGAACACATCGGCAAGATCAAATGTTCTACCAAAGCTAGACACTGTAGATTGAAATATAGGTATGGGGGATCAATTTGTTCATCAAGAAATCAAAAGTTGCGTTTTGCCGCCTCTACTAATAATGTCGAACTTGTTGAGAAGCTGCTACTGGCAGGAGCCGATCCCAATTCATCAGATGAACATAAAAGAAGCCCATTACACTTGGCAGCTTGTTGGGGTTATGTTGATATTGTAAGAACACTCCTAAGACATGGTGCCAATCCTAATATTAAGGATACATTAGGCAATACTCCTCTTCATCTAGCTGCATGTACAAATCATATTCCAGTAGTTATTGAGCTGCTTGATGCGGGTACAGATGTCAGTTCAAATGACAAAAATGGTCGCAATCCACTCCAATTAGCACAGAGTAAATTAAAACTTATAAGAATGCGACCCAGTGGTGCAGGGCCATCCGATGAGACAAAACAGCTTATTAATGAAATATGTTTAGTAGTAGAAATGATGTTGAAGTACATGAAGATACAAAAAGCCGATGCTGCTGAGTTGGAATCCGTCCGTGAGAGATTAGAGCGTGTCAGTACTCGAGAACAAGTGGACTCTGAAGTACAAAACTTACTAGACAGTCTTGACTCACTGAAATTAAGATAATTATTGTATTCATTTTTTGATAAAAATTTCAAGACTGTTGAAAAATTGAAACTGCCTATTGATAAGGGTGTATTCACATGACCTGCCAGATTGATTTATCAGTACTCATGTGTTAGGAAGTACTGCTGGCAGTTTGCAACAGCATGTAGGTGTTCTTACCTCTATTGTTGCCAGTTGTAACACACCTAAAGCTCACAATTAGATTGTAAAGAAAACTTTTTTAAGCTAAGTAGGTACACTTTTCACATACTTCAATGATAATATTATGTTTAGTTTGTACAAATATAATCAATTTGTGTAATAAGACAAATTATTTGCTTATTCAGGAAATAAGTATAGACAATTTGTATTACAATAGTGTAGCCAAAATAACCATTACAATCCTTGAAGTTTTGTAATCCTTATAAAGATTTATGATTGTAAAATATTTTTCTTTCTATCAATCTAACAAAAAATAGTTTTTAAAACAACACTTACACAATGTGAAGGAAGAATAATTTATTTCTATAAAAAGAATAATTTTTATGATGATCTAATCTATCTTTAAGTAAGGGATATTATATTGTTATTTTTTATATTTTTAAATGTTATTCTGAAATTTTCAGTCTTACAAGAATGTTTACAGTGACCACATTTATAGCTGATAAAGGACATGTTTCATTTTACACTGCATATAACTGATAGTCTTTAGTGTTCAGTGTATATATGGTTATAACACTATCAAGTATATAAAAATCGTAAATATGAGTTGGGGAAAAAAAAGCTAAAAATGATCTCACTAGATTATAAATTACAAGATAATTGTAAATCATCGATATAAAAAGTCTGTTCCTGGTATAATAAATTTATTTAGATATGATTCTATATATTTCATAGTCTTATAACCTATTACAGATATGAAACATGGACTATTAAGAATGATGGACCTGTGATATCTGATGATATACATGTACTACATATGCATTTCTTATTAGGGTCCAACCATTTGCATATGCTTTAATAACATTAGATATCTATTATGACATAGAAAGGGTTAGTTAAAATAGGGTTAATTTACCCAATATTTTGCATGTAAGTGTAAATGTGTATTCATTACTTATTTTTGAATTTTGATTTCAAGAATATAAATTGTTTAACTACTTGAAAAGTAAGATTATATAATAAATATATAAATTTGATTGATAAACAGTTGTTTCAATAAACACTCAAATTGTATGTAATCATTTATTAACAACAGTTCCATAAACTTTTATTTACAATAATACAGCAATTTCCATTTATAAGGATGCATTTTACAAATGTCATAGATAATAAGAAACATGCAAATATAAATTGAATAGGAACTATAAAAACCATAGATTAAGAATAGTACCTAGACTGAATGATATATTGAATTACAATGTTTCAAAGAATATAATAATAGTATTATGCAAAACTGTTCTACAATCATAAAGAAAATAGAAACATACAAAACTTGTGCTAATTTTGTGATGATACAAAATACAGCCTAATAACTTAGTTAAAAAATTGTGATAAAATTGTATCCTCTTATTCCATTTTACAATATTAACAAGCTTCATAATTTATTACTATAATAACAATATTTACACTATATAAATAACGAATTGAACTAAAACAATCATCAAAACTATTTGTAAATCTATGCAAAACACTAAGATAAATTATCACATTCAAACTAAATTACATTATTTATATTTAGGCATTTCTCTGGGGTTTAAAATCTGACGGAATATTTATAATAATGATTATGGCAAAGTTTAATATTATCACAGAAAGTTGTTAAATTAATATTTAATACTGCTAAATCATAACTGGCAAAACAGTATAGCATAAATCAAATTTAGGACATTTTCAGACCAGACATGTTTTATTTCAATTTAATAAATAATATCATTTTATAATTTTTACATGCATAACAAATGTCTGAAAACAGCCTAATTTCTGATCTACATAATTTATAAGTACTTAATATTTATACTAATATTACACCAAAACCCGATATATCTAGCCCCCACATATTAATATTACAAACAAAGTGTTACTGTGCAAGTTAAACTTGGCACAACAATTTTACTAAATTACAGCTATAGCTGCCTATAACGATATTCATTCTGATGTGCCATCAATGTGCATTACTTTAAATTGACAATTAAAACTTGAATATCACTTGTGTAAAATTAGTTAACTGAGAACTATTATCTTATATCGTAACTCTATAGATTTATGGACTGCAACTCACGGCCATCCACATTGAAAATAAAATATTATATAATTTAATTCATACAAATTTTTATATAACAAAAGAAAGCGGAAGTCTATTTTACATTGTCGTACAAATAGTTCGGAAAGAATACTCAATAGGTACTTATTTAAATTACCTAATTTTGCCCTAAATTTGAGCAAATAATGTTGTAAACCTATCAATTTATTCATATGTAAATCATGTATATTTTAGAGTGCAATGATTTTGGCACTTCATAGTTTCCAAAAGACTTGACTAGTCGCTAAATATTGTAGTATTACACATATAAATCCATTTAAAAATATATCACATTTTGAACCAACAAAACTTATCCTTTACAATAAATAAAATAAATCACAATTTCAATGGAATGATCATTTTGCCTTTTCAATAAATAGTAAACTTTGGTATTAAATACATAAATCAGATATTATTGTGGCACAACCATAATATTTAACTTCTTGTCTATTGGAAAATATTCCCACATATTGCACTTCCGTCGGCTCGGTTTTGTTTCATGAGTTAAATTCAGTCATTTAGAAAAATCTTATTATCTTCTCTGGTGTTATTTGTTATCTGGCACCAAGAGTTTTACTATGTTAGGAAAGATTTCTGCTTGTATAGGACCGTATTCTACTAGCTCCCCATCCACAGTGAGAATACCATCGGGTCCTTCGGGAACTATTCTAAATGCACTCACAGGAACCATTTTAATGTACTCAGAATTCATCTCCACGTGAGAGGCTTGACCTGCATTTACTAGAAATGACAGAAGTTGTGACCTTGAAACTCCTGCCTTGATAATTAGCATCCACATTACACCATCACATAATTGTGATCTTGGGGCGAATAAAAAGTCTTCCCCGATATATGATTGATATGATACGTGAACCATTATGAACTCGCCTTGTTCATGCACCCAGTTGGAGGGCAGTTGGGACATAAGAGATGGTAAATGCGACGCAGGGCCGTGCATACATACGTGGACAGGGGAGCGCATTTCTGAGTTTTCACTTGTTACGCTGTGATATTCTGAACCCCGTGTACTAAAAAACGCGCTCCTTCTAGAATTGACAGAGTACCATGAGTCTACACGCTGATGTCTCCCGCTCCTAGCGTTGCTAAACACTTCCGAATGTTCATCGCAATCAATGAACGCTTCCGCATCAGGGGAGTCGAGTGCCCCATCCTGACTTACGCTGTGGCTGAGAGTAAGCGGTTGTTTGGGCTTTGGGAGATTGCTGATATCCTTAATTTTCAAATAACTCACTACGCCTTTATACTTCCTTAAGCCTAGTATTCGGGCCACCGCCCAGACCGCGAACCTTTGTCCACCCATAGCCCGTAACCTCTCGCTCTCGATGTCAATATCTGACAACAGACCCCAACCAACCGACAGGAAGGAAAACATAATCTGAAATAAAAACAGAAATAACAGGTCAATATTAATCGCAGTTCGTATTTTGTAACTCTATATGGATACTATTGTAACATCGAATGGGATAACAGATCTGGAGATCCTACTTATAATAAGTACATAATTCAGACTATAAGCAATGCGAAGTTTATTTATATTTAAGTAGCATTATCCCAAGTTTTCTTTCAATAACTTCCAAAATATATACTTTGCGTTTATTTAAAGCAGATACAATGCTAATTTCGTTAACTGTAGTTACGTAATATACATACCTACTCGTATGTACAATTTACACATAAAGATTATGTTTCTACATTGTAATAAGTACATATTTACCTATTTTATGTAATAGAATACGACCGGGCTCTTTATTGTGCTATATCAACGATACTTCACATGCTACGTTTGTCTTTTTAAGGTATTTTTTTGGTCCGGTTTTGTGATCCTGTGTCCAGGAGTAGGAATTTCTTTCTAATTTATAGGCCATAAGTCTAAATCTATAATTCTAACACTTTCTATCTTGGTATGTGAAAACCTTATAGTTAAAACATTCCAATAATTACCAATAAATAATAAACTATTTTCTGTCCTACTAATTATAAATATGAAAGGTTGTAAAGAATAATATTTGACCGTTTATTATTTAATAAACTGAATGTGACTTGAAGATTTATATACAAAAATTCAGACGTATTGCTAACCCTCCCCTTTTTTGAGTAGCTTATAAAGATATTTTATGTTACTACTGCAGCTATATATATAAATGGAGTCCATTCCACTATTTTACAAATTATCATTCGAATTGCTTCAATACTGAAAGCGTAAAAATAGAAAGTGGCCAATTCGTTTATGCAATTTCTCGTATTTAATTATTTTTATTTTTAAACATTTAATTTCGCTGCCAATAACATCGATTCATCAAATACAAATAGGTACCTCGTTGGGGGGACAGGAATTGTTAGTAATGGAGACTAAAAATCCCATTGCTAGCAATATACCCAACCAGGTCGACCTCCTCGTGGTTTCCCCTGGAAACTATCATGGTTAATTCCTGATGACTTCATTATGATGGGCTAACTGGCCTGTTTTCATTCTCATTGATCACCCTTCACTGGTGCCCCGCCAGCGTCTCCCGTTAGCGCAGGCGGGGATACCATTCCATTTTCACCCATTAAAAAAAAATTGGTACCTCATACTTAGGTATATTTTTCTTACCTTAGATTACTTATTTATTCGGATGTTTTGGGTTGTGTTTCCACATAATAAGAATTTATAACTTCTAAAGTAGGTAGAATTTACAGAATTGTATGATCAGAAACACAAACGGGTATCGTAAACAAGTTTTGAGATAATCGTCGTGAGAGATGGAACAAGTAAAATCCAGTACCTACTGTTGCAATAAACTGGGTAATTGCATCCGCATCCGAGTGACTGGCTGACTGCTTATTTATTGATGAACGTAGGCACTCAGGCAGGCAGGCAATTGAATCGCGTAACGCAAATCAGTGTTATTACCATTAAACGACCTTATCTAGTAGTAGTAGTAAATATGCCAAGCCATTCAGCAAATATAACAGGCTAGTATTCTCCTCTTATAGGAAACCCGTGGCCAAAAATGGGTGCCCAAAAAAGGTGATGGAAATTACGATTAAATTACAAATGCTACAACTACAAACATTAGAGTAGCAACAGCGTAACCATCTCCACGCTAGAGTGCCTTTTCAATCTGAGACCACTTCATTTGTCGAACTACAGAATGGACGCAGATAATGTAATACTCTATTAGGTATAGGGTTCTTAAAAATGATGTATTAAAGTTTCTTCAGAATCGACAATGCGCACGTGACATCTCTAGTCTTGCAGAAGTCCAGACACTACAGTGAACGTTTACCATCACACTAGCTGCCACAACACCATGATACAATCATGGATCAAATAGATGGAATTGGAACAAGGCATAGGTTCACCACACTTCACAACAAATCATGCAGTAAAGATTTTTGCTTAACAATTGAATCCGAGAATACAAAGCGAAAGTTTACAATTTCGACAACACTGTCGCAATGTCGACATCGTAAACTTTTGAAACAACAACCGCAAAAATAGTCTCATTAATTGGTACAATAAAAAATACGCGACCCACTCACGTTTATGGCCATTAACCATTTACGTGGATAGTAAATACACACCATTAGCATTGAGTTTGAAAAAATAAAACGTTTATTTAAACAATCACGTCATTGAAGAAGCTACTCCTCAAGTATGGAGCCTATAGCACGGATGATATAATACGAGTAATATAAAACATATATACTAATTCATTTCTATTTGCAAACATGTGTTAGTCGTGGTGATCTAAATGTTTCTTAATAATATTTTAAATGTGATAGTTTGTAAACATGTTTGTTGTTCAAAACATTCAAACAATCAACACAATAACACAAATAGTTTTCAATATTTTTCACGTGGGTGTAGCCGCGGATGACACATACAAGTAGTAATATAATAATTTGCATAGTTAAATAAAGAAAACGTGTGTACACTTAAATACTTATTTGTATTTAAATACTTGAAAAAGATGTGAAAAAAGAAAAATACTTAAAACGTATCTGAGAGAACTGACGAATATATTATGCAATAAGTATATAAAATTATACAAACGAAAGAACCTCTCATTTCGAAATCGGTTGAAATTTATAAGTTCTCCATGCTCCTATATTTACCTGTACTTATTTAATAAGAAACAAATTATACATACGTCATTCTTTAAAGACGACTTTAATGAAATTGCATTAATATGTTGTAAGTTGTTTATTCCGACTTGTTTTCTTTTTATCACGATGAGTGACCTTTAAGGGGCAAAGCAATATTAACAGCGACAACAAGTATAAATCTAATACTACGTTGCTGTAGACACGGATAAAACTAGCGATTTAATAAGAAAGTAAAAGCACTGCAACAAAACTCATCAAAGCGTTACATTTGTTACGTTAACGTACTGTAAGAACTACTGAATGTTTACAATTAAATACGTGATATTAAAACAGCCTGTTTAGTTGAGGGAAACAGACAATTTAAACAATTTGATACAAATTAAAACATTGTTTCGAACTGGAACATTTACAGAAAATGCTAAAAACTTGGTTAAAAATAATTTAATAGATTAAACGTATTAAGAAGATACGAACATAAAAATAGTACTAAAACCATTAATTAGGTAGATCAGGTGCGGGTGGGTGGGATGTTATATCGACAACAAATTAAATTTTCGAATGAAATTATAGCTCGGATCCCGTATGATCTTAAAAGATCCAAGCTAAACATTGGTAATAGAATAAAACAGACATTTTGACCGTTTTGTCTTACTATTTGCAGTAGAGACCTTTTTTTCGTCATCAATCAGGGAAAACGGACGTCGTCAAAAACTTGCCCAGACATGCCAAGGCCGGACCTGACATTACAACATATTGGGTTTTCATTCTTCTTCTTCACCTGTTTCTTAAAAAGTAATCTCAATAATCTTAACACTAGATACAAATATAAACTTGCTGTTCCGAAGTATCGTTTAGAAAAAGTAAATGGATCTTTTATGGGAGAGGACATTAAATGTATATTACAATAAGAAATCGAAGGATATTTTAGATCTAACTGTTTAGTAATTTTAAACTGTTATTATAAAACAACAACAACAACCTTCCGAACCCTGAATAGATTAAGAAAAAACTGCGTGCAATACGTACGATTTAAAAGTGCTTGTAAACAAATATATTTGAATAAAGATTAGTTGAATTGAATTCATACTAACATTAAATTACAACAATACTGAATAATTTTACTGAATGTCACTACAAAAACTATATTTTCAAGACGTAAAGTTTTCGTGACAAACGAAAGGTCATTTAGTTAATTGTCTTTAATTAATCAAACTTTAGTTACCACCTGTCTGATATCAATTGCAACAATTACGTTTGCTAGTTAAACCTTAATTTATGAAGCGACAATAACGATAACATGCTTTTATGTTAGTCACTCACGTACAGTAAATATACCTAAATGATAATATTATTGTAATAAACATCGTACTTTGTCACAGTAACTCAATTGACAAATCTTAACGTTTTTAACTTGTTAACTAATAAATAGTTAATGGTACAAGGTAACTCAACACGGAACACATATATACTTAGAAATCACTTGTTACATATCATTAATAACATATATGTATAGAGTTATATATTGTATTGTATATTGTACTTGAAATTATATTTCTTAATTTTTTACGCTGTTAACATTCTTAATTATACAATAATATCATACCTACTTGTACAACAATTAGTCCGTTACCCTAAGGTTGTCTTTAAAAGATTTCTTTCAGCAATATGAACGCCTTACTATACTTATACAACTGTATCATAATATTTATTAATCCTTGCTTATAGAAATTACATTGTTGCAATATAGGAAATATTGTATAATGTAAATAAAGTGTACTTACTCATTCGTTTATCATTGCACGTGAGCAACACTGTTGGCATTTATGTATAATGTTTTTGTTCATTCGGCAAGCCATTGTTCCAATAGTTTTTTTTTTGATGGGTAAATATGGTATGGTAACCCCGCCTGCGCTAATGGGATACGCTGGCGGGACACCAGTGAAGGGTGATAGATGAGAATGAAAACAGGTCAGTTAGCCCATCATGATGGAATTCATCAGGAATTAACCATGATAGTTTCCAGGGAGAACCGCGAGGAGGTCGACCTGGTTGGGTATATTGCTAGCAATGGGATTCTCAGTCTACATTACTAACAATCCTTTTCCCCCTTGTTCCAATAGTTAAAAAAAAACTACCAAGACAGAAATTATTTTTAAATTAAGATGTGTTCGCGCACCTGATGAAGTTTTAATAATAAGCTCTAGATGCATGCTTCCCTTGAAGTTACTTATTTATCATCGATTAAAAAAATCTTTATGTACAAAAAATATTACATGCCTATTATTATAGTATATTGATTTTAGACGATTAATATTATGTTTATCTATCAAATTGAGTGTTCATATGTCATCAATATAGCCGGATAAACGTTATGAGCTCATTAAATAAATAAAAGTTCCGAACTTGTTATCTCTAGTATGATAAATATAAACATATCAATTGAATATTGTTCGCTTTAGTTTTTTAAACGATTTAAAAGAGAGACAATCTCAACTCTGTGTACAAATAAAAAAATACACAATTTCTGAATCAGAGGGCTTACCATGAAATGTTTTCCGAAATTTCGGAGCCAAACGAAACAGAAGTTTGATGTTAAAATTACATAATACATGCCGTTTGGAAATATTAAAAATGTTAAAATATTGTTACTTTTGACTTTTGTGATAGGATGTATGACGAAAGAAATGTTAAACTCCATTTTTTGGTCCAATTTTGGTATAAACAAAAACACGAAATTGAGTCTGAAATTTCGGAATTTCATTTCATGGTGGACCCGCTGATTATATTCTTTCGTGTTAAATACTTTAGATTTATCCAGGTAATTAATATTCACACACCTCAACAAGAAAACTAAGAGGAAAGAAATGTTTCAAAATCATTTTAATGATCCAACCATTACAATAAAGTAAATAATATCATTGCAGTCACGACTTATGACACTAGTTTTTTAGTTCTGAGTCATTCATAACAAAGTATTGATATCTATTTGTTTATCAGCTTATAGTTAGATATATTAATAAAATATAATTGTAACTAGACGACGTCTGTACATAAGAGATATTTAAGAATAGTTAATATGAGGAGCTTAATAAGACTGATATCAAAACAATATTTTGTCCGAAATTTTGTTTGTCTGTAAGTTTGTTGCGGGATCACGCAAAAACTACTATACCAATTATAATTGAATACGATTTCCACAATTGTGTTCCCGAAGGGTTAACTTAAAATCCGGTATATGTTTTTTTATTAATACAATATAATATATAATTATGTTTTTTTTTTTTATTTTTGTAATCCATGCCTACGAAGTAGCTTATAAATAATAAAAAAAAATTATACATTTCTAAATACATACAAGATGAAATAAAAATCAATACCTTAATTTTAAGAGAATGCCATTCCTTTTTCCCTATATAACTTGACAGCTGAATTCATTTATTCCGTATTAACCTTATATGGAAGTGTTATTTTTTATGATTTTGCGATTGTTTCTTAGAGAGAAATATCCTATTTGTAGAACACTCACTTAAAAGGATGTAAATAATTTCAATTTCATTTCTATGAGTATAATAACATTCTGAAAACAATCTTAACTAATATTATAAAAGTGAAAGTGAGTTTATTTATTTGTTACTTGTTAGCTCTTTAACAGATTACCTATTCACTAAAAAATTTGATATACATGTATATATTTTTTTTTTATATGGGACGGAGTATGTAGACTATTTTTATCCCGGACAGTGACATATTCCGAGGACGAAGTCGCTAGTAAAATCCAGTATAACAAACAACCAGTATAACAAGCAACCAGTATAACAAGCGTGAATTTACAGGTTACAGAGGAATAACACCTGAGTCCTCAGGAATGGCAACGCATGAGGGGTATAATGGGCGAAACAGTATACTCTGTTATGTCCATGGTACTGCTTATGTCTATAGGCGACGGTTACCACTTTCCATCAGGTGGGCCGTCAGCTCGTTTGCCATTATAAATTGTATAAAAAAAAACATAATTATATATACATATAATGTCAACTAAACATGCTAGGTAGTATAAAAAAACTAAGCACTTACTTTTGTCTTTGTTTCAACTCTGACGACATCCATGTGTGTCGATTTGCCTCTCGCCAGTGCCATCGTTAACCCCGTTAAATTTTGGGGAATGTATGGTTCGCTGAAACAAATTAAAAAAATTATATATTTTTAATTTATACAAAAACCGATATTAACAGCACAATTTTTTAATATACATAATAACACTGTCCAAACAGTAGCAGATCTTAATAGCACTTGTACACTTATTTTTGCGCAGCAAAATTAACAAGTAAATTTTGCTGCGCTAAAAAATGTGACTTCAATCGTTCTAAATTCAAATATATAGACACAATATCATACAATTGTATCGTTACGATGTAATAGGAAAGAAAAATATATACAATAATGCAATTATATCATTTTTAATTTCCATGCACGTCCATGGTATACTCATGTAGCATAAACCCATCTACACAAAAGCATATTTTAATTGGCCCTCCATTATCCTTACTAAAATTATCAGCATACACATTTATATTGTTAATAACATTATAAATGTGAAATGAGTTTGTTTGTTACCTCTTAACATCTTAACAGCCTAACCAATCACTATGAAATTTATATAGCAGGGGAGAAGGGGACATGACGGGATACTTAAGGTTTAAAGTTCAATAAAATTAAGTATGTTAATCTTTTCTAGGTTTTTTTTTTATTTTAATAATATGAATTCCTAATTAGGCTTTAATAATTTGTACTTATTTGTAACTCTTGTTTAATAATTAAATGAAAAAAAAATGAAAATATGCAAAAAGTCATACTTCCCCATCTTGCCCCCTAGATACCTCTAAAAGGCAAGATGGGGTAATAGGATGGATGGGGTGATGGGTACATCACAGCTGTGATGGTGAGCTGTCAACTTATGGTTACTGACAAACTTCACACGTAAATGTCGTTTTCTCATCCTCATCTTCGATTTCAGCACAATTGCGATGTGCCCATTTTTCGCATGCAGCACAAGCCACCCAGCAGGGTATAGGGTACCCCATACCCCGTCTAGCCCTTTCGCGCTTAACGAATTTTAACAAATTATTAAAAAAAATAATGCCGTAATATGAAAACAAACGAGTCCTTACCTGCTGGCGTGATTGTTAACGCATACGTATATTGTGCTGGTGACATTTAGCAACAAACACGTGTCAGACAAAACACAAAAATTACAAGAAATATGACAAAACCCAGTTTTTTTTAATTATATAATGAATGACGCAGTATCGCTAGCCGGTCACTGCGCAAACTGATTGGCATCATGGCGGTGCATCATCACACGCTAGCCAGATTCTGATTGATCAGTTGTATCGACGTATAAAGCCGCTACCCCGTCTTGCCCGCCACTCCGTCTTGCCCCCCTTTCCTCTAATATATGAGATGAAGAAGGACATAGGCTACTTTTATCTTGGTCAGTGAACATATTCCGAACAAGTGAAGTCGCGAGTAAAAACATAGTACATTACAAAAGACTAAATATGTGCATATACATAAACTATACGTATGTATTCCTGTAAACAGAATGAAATATTTACGAAGCTACGTAATTCAGTGGAAGAGTGTAATTAGTCAGATAAGATTTTGTAGTTTCTTTTTATCTAATCTTATTTTTTATTTAATTAAATATTCAGAAAATCATTAATTGCAATCAAGATTTATAAGCTAATCGGTTGCACTAAAAATAATCTATTGTGGAAATACGTAAGTATGTAAAATTACAACACCCGGATGAGTGTATGTTGTACCTGCTTTTTTTTAATAGATAATACTAGACGGTATCCCCGCTTGCAGTATCAGTATACACTGGCGGGGTACCAATAAGTGGTAATAGATGAGAATGAAACCAAGTCAATTAGTTCATTGTGACGAATTCAAGATAATTACGATGGTTTCCAAGGAAAACGGCGTGGATGCCGACCTGATAGGGTATTGTTTGTTAGCAGTGGAGCTGTCTGGGGGAAAGGGATTCTTAATTCAATTCAATCATTTATTGCATTTGTCATATTGTTAAATATCGATATAATTTTTTAGAGAGAAGTGTGGACTGAAAGACGATGTAGTGACAAAAATCCAAAAAGGAATGTTGCGTTGGTTTGGCCATTTGGAGAGGATGGATGAGAGAAGAATTACGAAAGAGATTTATCGAACAAGAATGACAGATATGTGTGTATATGTATGTAATTTTTTAGTAATGAATGAGGTCTCCATTACTAAACATCCTTTTCCCAGGTATTATCTGTGTCCATGTCAGAATACGATATGCCTTAAAAGTGTATAACGTGCTTTTATGAGGAGTCAGATCTCCCCCCCCCCCTGAAATATAATCTAATAATACACGACTGTATACTGATGACAGTGTAGTTCCAGCATAGAATAGGGCACTCCTTTCTTGCCCGTGAGTGTCGTAAGAGACGATTAAGGGAATTTAATGTACAAGAGATGGACAGCAGCGTCCCTCCTAAAACATTACCAAAGCCTAACTGCGGTTGCCAATGTCCTTTTATTGGTGGACAGTTAACGGCTGATATGGTATACTGGTAACCGATATTTCGATATATTTATTTTCATAAAATAAATTTTTGCAACAGATCTATAAGCGTAATAATCTTATATTGTTTGAAGTGCTACTCTAACATTTGAACAACAAAAAAAAATTGTAATAACTTATGTTATTTTTCAAAACGCACATTTTCCTCAATCCGGCTCGGATATCTCACATACAAAACTTGTAATAAATGTGGTTGGATATTTTTTATTACTATGCCTTGTACACCTTTTATACCTATTTTTATGTCTAAACAAGTTACCGCGATTTGTTTTTAGCTAATGTCATTCAAAGTTTTAAGTTTTTAGCTAACTCCAGTAATTTTTGCTTGGTTAATATATAAGTTAGTAGACCGGCTTGTTCTATTAAATTATATTACAAATAACTGAGTGCAGATCTATTATTTCTATAGCAGAAGACGTCACTTTTGACAAAGTGCAAAGCCAACAACGATAATAAATTAAACCACAGATGATATTGTCCATGAAATTGTACTATTATTTATAATGTATTATCATTACTAAATTATTGAAACTATTAACCTACTTCCAAAAGAAAAAGGTTATCAATACATCTTTGATAACGATTCTATTAGCTACGTCGCCAATTTTGAACAGATTTTGATATCGGTAGGATTTAATCCTTCATTAATCCAATATTGATTTTATAGCGATTGAAACTATCATTTTTCCTTGTTGCTTGTTATGAAGCAACATCTACTTAGACTCGTTTCTGCATTCTAAATTCGAATATTTTCAATCTATGAAACAATGTCATGTAGACAGAGAACGCCCCGCAAGTATTATCCTTAATCTATAGTCATTAATTTGTTTTGTTACGATTGAATCTATTGTTTTTTTTTTTTTTTTGCGGATCAAAATGTATTCGTAAGCTGTTAATCTTTTAATATGAACATTTTTTAAAAGGATTTTTTAATATGCATAATTTAAAGTTGATTCATCATCATTTCAATCCATTATCGCCCACTCTACGCACGAGTTTCTACGCATAAGAGGAGGGTATTAGCCACGTTGACAAGGTGACTTTGTATTTGACTGCATGTACGTATTTTGGGTTGGATGATATCGTCATGAATTACGTAGCACACATTTTTACTGCCATATCCCAACTTTTAAACATAAACACAGCCATTTAAGCATAGCTGCTTGGAAGAAACATAAGTGGAACAGGGTTTCCTTTGTAAACGACTTTTGTACAATGTAGCTCTAGTAATACATAATTACAATTTTAATACATACATATTATAGATAAGAAATATAGTGATAATATATACCTATATCGCGTTTTACATGCAATACAGACTTTGCACTAAATGAAACTTCCAATCTTATCTATATTAAATTATAAAGGGAGATCTGATTATTGATGACTAGCTTTTACTCGCGACCTCGTCCACGTGACCGGGATACGTGTACTCACCAGTGTATATATATATATATATATATATATATATATATATATATATATATATATATATATATATATATATATATATATATATACCAACTATCATTTACAACAAATCATACTGATTGGTTATGACGCTATAAGATAACAAACAAACTCACACTACATTTATAATATTAGCAAAGATAATTTAATAAAATTTCTCTTATAAATAACATTATACATTACATCGCTACATGAAATATACATTTATAAAACAAAAAAGAGATAATATCATGTTTAATAATTAGATTACAAACCGATAGATAAGACAAAGTCACAATTTAAACATTATCATATGAACGGACTATTCGCAACGGAGTACCACAAGGTAAATTTTAGGTCCTCTACTATTTGTTACCTATTCGTAAGTAAATATCATATAATAATTACTGTTTACTAGAGTTTCGCGCCAATGGTTTTTTAATTTCCTCTCGAAAATGTCTAAAACCGTTGCCTAGTTTCCCATAAGGTAAATTCTTGTGCAAATCTTTAGATCAATTAATAATAACTAAACAATGATCAGTCAATTTCTCTTCTTATTAGATATTAAAGTAAGAATAATTTAAGATTTCATTCCACCAAAAATACCGATCCCAATCGCGGCAACATTATTTTGATTTAAAAACTAAACTAAATCGATTTTGATAAAATTTTTGTGGGATCAATCTGAAAGTAAAAAATACAAATCGATTTATAAATAGGTAACAAACATAAAAATTACAAACAAATACAGAACCTCGAATTTGAAGTCGATTAAAAAATACACTAATTAAAAAAAATTATAAAGACATGACATATATAAGTAAAAAATTAATAATACTTTGAAATCCGTTATGCAATAATACTTGCAATTTGTACTATTACTAGACGTGCTAATAGGGGAAACAAAATACATCGATTCATGTAACTACCATTTGGGAGCGTTATAGCTTTGTTACCTATGTATAAAGAAGCATGTTTCCTCACTACGATCGCGACCAATAATTTATTCTGCAGTCCTTTCTGACGTCAGTTAACCGCAGTTCTAGTACAAGTTTTCTTATCAATGCTACGGGAAACTTAATACACAACAAAACTTG